TTTGGCTTTCTCATTTCGCTTATTAAGGCTCTCCGTCCACACCACGGCCTGGTTGTGCATTTTGCCACAAAATCAGCGTGCAATTTTATGTATGATCTTCTCTATCATTTTATGCATCACCAGAAGGATCTGCCTGCCCATGTGGAGTTGTTGACGGATTATGAGGGGGAGGGTGGTGACGCCTCGACGTTATCCGAGGGGATGCGGGATTTACTATCCCAGCGTTTTGATCAGATCGTACGCGATCCCGCGGCGTCCTCTACAGGTGAAATTACTTCCCCTTCGTTGACTTCTACAACTGCGGTAGTTCTGCTTTCTTGCTTTGGCTTAGTTCCCACGTCCGGTACGATTTTTGTATCCTACGACATCATCCCAGACGTGCCGAACTTTGGGCAATTTGTGCGAAAAGCACTCATCCCACCAGGGCAGTCTGCGGCTATGAATTTGAATCACTGCGCGAGAAATGGAGGGGGAAAGTCTGATTCAAACGAGCATGATGACGCATTGCCGAGGCCTACAGAGAAAACACCGCGCGCAGGAGAGAAGGACCACAGTACTTTATCCCTTGATGAAAGTAGAATGACAAATAAGTCAGAATATCCTAAAGAGGGGTCCTTATGGGAAGTCCCCGCGTACCGCCACATTTTCGTTCTCCCGCGGCCTAATGAAGTTAAAGGTATGCTACGTCATCTTCGTCTCACAGAGCGAACCTTTAACCTGACCTACACCCCTTTAGCACACCGGCCTTCTCAGGTCAGCTATCACTTCGCCGCTGAAAAGCTGAAATCATTGAATAAAAAGTTATTTTCGATTCAAAACTTAGCCTTCCTTGCGTACAAAACTACAATGCAGGCGTATAGCGCGATAGGACCCCGTGATGTGTACGATGAAAGCCAACTGAACCTTGAAAAAGCTGCTGAGGAGTTTGGCTTCACTGAAATTCCCTTACTAGATTTGCGGTTGAGGGATAACAATTTCCGTCCAAAGGAGGACTTGTACAAAGTATCCAGAAAGAAACAGGTGGAGGAGCAGCGGGCATATAAACAATTTGCTGAGTCCAACATTCCGATTGATTCGTAGGTTTACTGTGAAGGTTAGACCCTACGTTAGCACCTGTGGTGTGCAAACAATGATGAAAACAATTTTAAGCATAAAAAAATTTAATCCTAAACAGTGCGAATAATTTTTTAACTTTTTGGGTCTTTGAATTTGAACGATCGATTCGAAGGATTCAAGCCATACCTGACAGTGCTAAGCGCTTAGAAGGCGCTCTAAGAGAATTGGGTGAATGAGGATGTAGTTTTGGATGGCTATTGGTAGATAAAGGGAGTGAGTACGTTTAATATGCGTTTAAGTTTTATACCGGATTGGTGTGAAAGAATACCTTCAGACACTAGGGATATATGCTGTACCTTAAAATTGACTACAAACACTTAGGATCTGGTACTTATTTTCTATTCTTTTGTCATCATTCACCTTTTATAGACTCCTTAAAGATCCAAAGTGGTAGATTGAATCATAGAAGGTTACATCAAGTTATATATTTTTTATCATCTATTAGCAGTTGACTTGGTTGGTGACGCTTGGTATTGTTATTCTTTTAGTATTTTTTATATTATAGCATTATACGCAAGTCATACGTGAAGAAGGAAAAAAAACTTCACGAAAAGGTAAACAGGGAAAAAGGGAAGCCGGATGTATCGAACAAAGAAAAAAAGTCCCCCTAAGCGCTCGAGCGAACGTGCCGGGGCTAAAGGCCAAGGACTGAAGGCCGAACCCCCACTCACGGCCGCGTCGAAGGGGAGGAAAAAGGTCCCAGATGAAATCGTGAAGGAAAGCCCTCCCCCTTCTATCGTTGATGAAGTAGACGGTTTAACGTTGGAGGATAGTAGGATTTACCAGGCTTCCGTCCCTGCGAGTGATTCCTCAACCCCCAGCCCTCTCCCCGAGGAGTCCGAATTACGCGAACTGATCGCACTGAAGGAGAGCTTTACGGCTCCTTTTGTGATTTACGACAGCGCTAGTAAGAAAATTTGCGTGAATCCATTGTTGGATCGTGCCTCCGTCGCCCAACTCTCGCGTATTCAAGGTGTTTTTCTACATCGACTCCGGCAATCCCAGCGCGAAGCATCGGAGCGGACGCTAACGGAGCTTTTATTCGACCTCGAGCGCGCGCTGCTGGGGGTAGTGGCCTCCGTGAGCGTGGCCCTTCCCCCACCCGGGGGTTTATCCTCCGACCAGAATACGACTAACCATCCCCATCCTCCGGTGTCTTTTGTTCACCTTTTCGACGAGGTCGAAGCGGTGAAGGCGGTCCCCCACATCGAGACCCTTTTTGCGCAG